GGGGGCGGTGGAAACTGTTTCGAGTACTTTGCCGTGATCGTAAATCGGATATTTCTGAACATTTCACAATTGCAAATTGTAAAAGATTATAAGATCCTCCACACTCAAAGAAAAATACATGGTCGTGACGACTATAAAAATGATATTAATATACGAGCTTCGTACGTAGAATTGACACATATAATTTAATCAAGCGTCTGATAGTCATTGTAACCAAATCTAAACAGCATAGCGAAGATTATAGTAATTATTCACATACTGTTTCAATAACTATAAAATAGTTTATTAAACCATATGCAAATTAATTCTATATGCAAACTAATATTCATATAGTTACCTATGTCACTATATATTTTTCTCCGAGTGCGCGTAGCGTATACGTCGTTTCATGAAAATCTCGAGAAAAACACATAAGTGAGCCTGACATTACCGGCTGGCAATTAGTTACGATTGTTCGTCTCACAACTGTAATTTCTCCTTCGTCTAGCAGTCAGCTAACTTATTTATACCGCTATTAGCAGAAATGAGTGTTGCATTATTGACCGACGTAACGATGTTAGACACAAATTTATCGCATTTGTGGTCAGACTCAAGTCACGAGGTTCAATTTGTACTCGGGCAGGCATTGTCGTACGGCGGGGCCAATGGGAAACTTTCTTTCAGGCCCTCGATCGGCTGGTGATGGCCGAAGCCGACAGCGAGGCGGCCCTGAGAAGCAAAAGGACAATCGGCATCCTACGACAGATCTTCCCCGAGATCTCCCAGGTGAGCAGATGCGAAAAAAAAAGTCGTCGATGCGAAAAAAGTGACAGAGAAATCCTGCGGAAGGCCAGGACCAGACTGACACGGCTAAAATAAACGCACCAGCCGAACGGCGTTTCATACGTGTACGAGATTGCGCATAAATTGGTGTATTCGCATATTATTGTCTCGATCGAGTCGAGTTGCGAGCACTCGCAGTTATCAAGGAACAACACGACATCCTTGAGAGCGCATGCTCGGACTGACCCTCGCTCGATGCACCTTTGACACTCACTCACCTCGAGACGTTTCGCCTTCGCGTCGCGATCTTTGCGGATCCGCGCGGCAGAGCAAGACACCTCACTGCTGAACAGAGCTCAGCCTTTTAACTCGACATTCTTACCGAGAAAGTAACGCATGCGGATTTGTGAGCCGACTACACTATCTAGCTAGTTTGCCGGCTAATCCTTCGCTCATTCTCTCGGGCCCGTTGCTCGTGCCAACTCATTTCGGATTTCGATCCGAACGTTTCTTTTGTTCTCCGTGAAAAAGAGAGCACGGAAGTACTCACGAGACAGATCGCGCGTATCACGCACTGCGTATTATGCATGCCTTGCCGTTATAACTTAAGTTCGCTCGAGCGATTTTCAGCTATAACATAAAGCCGTTTTACAATATAAGCTTAAAGTATGCAGTAAGACGTAAGCGGTAAGCTAATCGACTAACCACCAGTCGATTATCCTTAGAATGTAAGAATCTAATTGGTCAATTAGCTTGAGTTTTGCTGCACATTTTACGCTATTGTAGAACGGCCTTTACTCGTGTACGCATCAAATCAAAGTCAAGTCTCGTAACGGCCACGGTGGTGCACGGAGAAATGCGAGCAGTAAGACTTAACTCCTTTGCATCCGAAGCGGATATATTTATCAGGCTTATTCTAGAAATTGAGAGAGAAAGATTCAAGACACGTAAGGACTCCTGATGAAACAAAGAGAAAAATAGTGAATACATTCGATCATTCCGATATCGCGGTGTCTGAATTGAATCATAGAATCACGAGTTTTTCATTCGTTTTATCACATTTGACGTCGATCTAAAGGAAAAATTCAGTGATATCAGCATACTTGTCAAATGTTTTAATTTATTTATTTATTCAATAATAATGACTTATTATTATTTATTTATTTATTTATTTATTTATGACGATTAAACAATAAACAAATTGGCCAATTATAGTCGAGAATTTTAAACACGATAGTTTTACGTTCTTGATGGCTCTCGAATGCGATTTGCCAATATGCTTATTACTTTTCCCATGTACCACGACCTCAAGTCACCCTAGCCACAATAGTGAAGCACACACATAACGTAGTTCATCCAATTATATTTTCACCGGTTGAACACCGCGATGTTTCTCGGCGGAACATCGAGGAGGTGTTTCTTCCATCCGTTCCAGCCTCGGCCTCCGCGCCAGTTAGTCGGACGATCTTTTTTGCAAAATTCAGAGTTTCGTTAAAATACCGAAGTTAGGTTTCGTTAGTGCTCCGTTCTAAATAGAAATTGCGCCACGGACAATCGTTCGTCGGCGGCAGCAGAGACTCGCAAAAAGCGGACGTTCTTGGGAAAGTTTCGCTTCTTACGCTCGAAATTCCTGCCAGTTGCGCGCCCATTCAGAGTCGCCCAAGAATAACTTCCTAATTTGACTAATAATGCGCCGGTTGATTCTCTCTCTCTCTTTTTTTTCTCATCTCGTTAGCAACCGATGGTTCTCCCGGCGCTGTTGTTGTCGGCCGGCGCGCTTTTTCCCGCGCGCGGTTGCATGTCACGACAATGCGACGATCGGCTTGTAGTAACAACGACGCTTACAAAAGAGCGATTCCGCGTTGCCGCGAGGCGACAGTTCGCGAACCGGAAGATCGGAGTGTCGAAATGTCGAGATTTCCCGTCGAGATTTTTTTCCCACCGTCACGACGCGCTAGGACGTCCGTCGGGAGTAACGATCGAACGTGCGAAATACAACGATCGCCGACGCAACGGTGACGCGAAAAGCACGCGATGACGATCGCCTCGTCGATCGTGAAGTAACGAGAAGCGGCCCGCTTCGATCGCGTTCGATCCTCGCTGTAGAATTTTTATAGACGCTCAGGACTTCACCGAGAGCGTACCGGCTTCACCAGGTGTATGATGTTGCGTAAAAACGGTGAAACTAATTCCTTCGTGACTCGCAACGTGTTCGTAAGAAAGCCCGGTAGTAAGATCGTCTACGATGGTATCGATAAGAAATCAATCTCCACGAACGATAACGCCTCCGACCACCGGCCGGTTCATATTCACACTCGTTGTTTCACGAACCATCCATTATTTAAACGGATATAGAAAGAAATGAGAAAAAAGCCAGAAAATAAAGACAAGAAATCCTAGCGCAGATCGAGACAGGTCGCGCGAGGTCGTCACCATCATTCATAGACGATCGATCGACGGATCACTACGCCGTATCGGATCGATATCATACCACTTTGATCGCACGGCCGCATAAAAAGCGAAAACAGTCACACCCCGAGATCCCGCAAAATAGAACAGGAGGGCCGGAGTCGTCGTTGCCCTAAGAGGGGGAGAGCTCTTCAGCTAAGGCCTGTTATTTTCTAGAGAATAGAGGAGATTGTCAACTCGATTGTCGCGGAAGTCATTCGTGCCCTTGGTCCGCTCGTCCTCCGAAATCTCTTGGGCGGCAATAACGGGGGCTCCACCAACGCAATGAACGCGTCGCCCTACGATGACGAAGATGAAGATGAGGATGAAGACGAGGAAGACGATTCGTCCGACATGAATCGTTCCAAAGTGTCGATCTCTCTACCAACGTTTCCATCGGACGAGGTTACGCCGAACGCCTCTTCGACCAGCAGCACAACGACCTCCACGACAGTGACGTCGGTGACGGTCAGAGGCGGCGCAGACGATGCCACGTCGACGACTACCTCAACAACCGTCGTTTCGACGATGATACCACCGGCAACAGACAACGAAGTCACCACCACGCTGTGACCATCCGTGGTCAACAGCTCGGTAAAAGTTTCGAGAGCAAGGTCATGATCTTGAGGAGTACTCACAGCCTGGCCCTAGGGAATTACCGCGTGCTCAGGACTGCCGCGGCCACGGTGTCCGCGTATACATTATGTGTGCTAACCGTTCATTGGGCGCTCGTGAGAGCGAGGATCATCATCGACGAGCTGGATTAGTGTCGGAAGGGCTTGACGAACGCTAGATTACCGCGCAATCAGGACTGCCGCGGCCATAAGCAGCACGTTTTCGTAAACATTGCTAACTTCTCACTATCTATCTCTCTGTCTCTCTCGTTTTCCCCGCGTCTCCTACTTAACTCGCGATTGATCATCGATTAATCATCGTCAACGATCGGCAACTCATCAAACTCGGATCTCAGTCGTTGGTACATAAAGAAATAATGTAGGGAGTATAAGTTAGGTCTTTTGGAGCTTAATCGCAACTGTTGTTCACGTTGTGAGGAGTATGTAAATGTTTAACGCTGAATAATGAGTTTGGTCAATCCACCTGGCAATGAACGACTGAACGCGTTTCGGCCGAAAGAAACGGAAGTTCCGGTTAGAAGAACCAAATTCGCTTCATGCCAGAAACCCGGTTTCCTTCGACCCGTTTGGTTCGTTTATTTGTATCCTCCCATAAAATGAAAAATGGAGCACATTACTACAACGGCTGTCTAATTAAACTCTGAAAGGCCCTCTTACGGAACCGATGCAAATAAACGAAAAATAACGTAGTATTATCGCAACGAATAAATATTGCATTTATTTTTCGATACTTTTTCTCTCAACGCGAGCATCCTATCGCGTATTTAAACAAGTCATTTGTGTATGTTTCCGCCGGCGAATATTTTTCGCCGCAGTGCCGCAGCAGGTTCGAACGGCTCTTAAATCGAACTTAGGTAGCTTCAGTAACGACGATACAGATTAACTATCCCAAAGAAACATCTTAGCTGTCACGGTTACGCCTTGGCTCTTTTCGTCGATCCTTTCTCTCGCTACAAAGCAGAATTACATTGGAACATTTCATACCACCTCCGCGCCTCTGGGTTCTTCATCTTCGGCACTTCGAGTCATCTTTCTCCCGCAATCTTCACCCGCAATTCGAACTTTCTGCTACTACTGTGCAAGTTCCATCCTCACGACGCCCGAGACTGTTTCAATCTTCAGCGAACAGATGAATTTTGATATTCAGCTCGGTCGTGTTTCCTGTCGAACCACCGCAGTCACCTCGATTTATAGCTATATCATTATGTTTTTCACGTACTAAGCATTTCTTACATCCTCGACTTTTGCACAGAAGAACGTTAGTAAATTAATTCCACGTATTCGCGACGGCCTCGAAGAACGAGCTATTTGTTATCCTCGCGATCAAAGATCAACACTAAGCTGGTTCTCACGAGAGACGCATCCTTGGAGATAATCCGATAACACTCTGTCCGCGACTCCTATGTGTTGTAACACACACACACACACACACACACATGCACATAGAGTATTTGTCGTAACAATCTGATATTTTAAGCTTTCGCAGTGTGGAGGAATACTTAACTTGGCTTCCGACGCGTCCTTCATAATGGATTTGTTTCGGGTAGCTACTTACCCCGAAGAAGTGAACTGAAATGTTCATTCGTGACGTCGGAAGCAAATCCATGAGGACGGCTCGCTAACTCGGAAGTAAAGTTCAACATTATCGTAACAATCTTACCGCGGTGTATGTACTATGGTTAATGATTAGTAATTCTGTCACTTGCGATTTTGCACCGTGCGATTATGTTATGTATTATACACATTACCATATCACTCATTATTCACTTATGTTACACGTTGTTGTGTAAAGAATTACAAATTCATCTATCATTAAGCTATATCTCACAATCGCAATCATAATTTCTGATGTGGCTAATCTGTGGAAACAAGAAAATATCATTACATATGGAAGTTGATTGTTAACTTCGTTATCTCATGCAGCGCGTAGAAAATCTCGATCGAAGGTGAGTGAAACTTTTTGCCCCGGATGCGATGGAATTCAGGCGTTCAGGCGCGCACCTTTCCGACCGTGATGAATAATTTAACAACGAGACGATTTGCCGCGTTTTTACGTCAATGGTAAAGGTAATGGCAGAGTCCGAAGATAAGCAGCCGACCTGATTACCGCCGCTCAATCGAGATTTTTTACTCGTTATTGCGCAAGATAAATAGACGCCGACGATTCAGCCGATTGGTAATCCATGTATGAATATAATCATTAACGATCATTACCAATTGACTTTGGCGCCCTGAGTACTGTTCCCAATCTGGGCAAATCGAGGAATCAATATGAAAGCGATAAGGATGACTAACGCGAATGAAAAAGAAAAAGAGAAACCATCACGTGATGAAGGGCGGGACCTCGCGAGTCGCCCGTTTCAGCTTCGCCGGTCGATCCCTCGTCATCCAGAGTCACGCGTCTTTTTGCAGGACGTGAACCCAGAGTCGGAAAATCGAGTGAACGAGATCGGAGCGGAGTCGCAGAACAACGAGGTGCGGGTGCAATTCGCGGACGAAGTGCCGAGCGAGAACTCGCAGCAGGAGCTGGCGCCATTGGACGAGGTCGAGGCGAACGAGGACGAAAACAGGAACAAGAGATTCCTCTTCGGCTTCGGTGGCGGTGCCGGCAGCGCTGGATCGGGCAACTTCCTCTTCGACATTATCAGGGTGAGTCGCTCGTCAATTCTCTAGAAGCTGCTTTTTTTTACCTTTGCGACGAGAGAGAATAAGAAGCCCACTTTCTCTCTCTCTCTCTCTCTCTCTCGTCTTTTGTTTCTATTGCAATTCTAATTACTCCTGCTTACAACCCCAATTTACCATCACTTCTCTCGTCCTTTTGAAATAACCGAACTCAAGCGACGCCCCGATTGGTTCTTCAACTTACAAGCTTACGTTAACGGTAAACGAATTAAACCGAGGTTAACTGTAATTAACTATAATTAGAAATGAATAATTCACGGCAATTTGTCGGGCGTGAAGAGTCGTCACGCCCACGAGGCGAGATCTCTTCCCCGCGCAGATGCGCGGCGCGCGCATCGCGATCGAGCACTTGCTATTCCCGTAACGGGGCGAGACCGCAAGGGCGCCGTTGCTGCAGACGGCAGTGAAAGTGAGCAACCGAATCGCCCTCTAGCCGCGCTGTCCCATCTGGTCACTATTCCAAGGTTCCTGACCTAGGCACGACCCGCGAAGCTAGAATTACCGCGCCAGGGATCCGATCGGCGTCCTTGGTTAAACGCGCGCAAAGATTCGCGATACTTACTGCGAGAAAGACGCCGCGAAATGTCAATGGACCATCCGATCGGGTTTGGAACGACGATTTCGTCGTGACTGCAACAAGTGAAATTAATAGCCAACGGTCCGATCTAATAACACGGATTCATTAATGGACGAACGATGAATTATTCTCTAATAATGACAGTATCGGTCGATGCTTGTTTCGCTTCCTTCAGTCTCTCGAGATATAGCCGGTCGTGCGGCCGGTAGGAATAATTACCGTGAATTGCGTTTCCCCAAGTAAACCACAACCGAGAGGCAATTAATAATAACGGCGCGACACGCTAACGACGACGTTCGGCCATCGCTGCCGCCTTTTTCCCCTCTTCTCCTTCTCTCCCTCTCGGCTTTTTTACTCGCGCGAAGCAACGTGCGCGGCGGAACGAGTTTCGCGCGCGATAAATGCAATCGGTCGGGTTCGCCGCGCGAAAACCGCGTATCTGTTTCCATCGTCCCGCCGTTATTCACTTTCCTAGCAAAAAGCAACGCGCGATTACGAACGGCTCTCGGAGCGATTCCAGACCGATCGACCGGCTGGCCGGTCGCGGCGACGGCGGCGACGCGCGACCCTTCACCGTCCGCGGATTGAGAAAACGAGAAACTCGTCTACGTGACCGATGCTCTATTTGTTCTTGTCGCGGTTGTTCAACCTTCCGCCGATAAGTAACTCTTGAAATCGTTGCGGACACCGGGCGCGTTGCTAAATCCTCGGTTACACAACGAAAGTGTAAAACGATGTTCTGCATAAATATCTTCGTGAATTGAAAAAGTCTCACGGTGACGTTAACTCTGGCTGCCGCGCGTCAATTTCAATTTGGATCGCGCGAAAGCTTTGTTGACGATTAAAAATGTATCATCCATAACTGAAAGTAATGAAAGAATTGCAAATTAATTAATTCTACACAATTAAATCTAATCTACACATTGCATTTAAAAGCGACACTGAAGGTTTGACGGTAATTCAGAGCCTGGATCGAAGTATACTCCCACTTTAGAAGTTGTGAGGTGAAACGAGTTCGATAAAATTCGATGCAATCAAGTCAACTGACAAAGGCGTCAATAAGAAAAATAATAAATAATCATATTTTTGCAATATCGTATATCTGCCAACTTCAACATCGTTTTAAGTTAACATTCATTATCTACTTCGTTTTAAATTAACATTTATTATACTAAATAGTGAAACAAATGTACAGAAACAGTAATTTTGCTTAATACGCTAAATATTTTGATAAATGTTCAATTTATGAGTGATCTCCTTTTGATGTATTACTGAAAATGCAGTACTAATGGACGATACATTTTTAAATGATAAGGTGAATGAATGCAATTCAAGAGCATGTACGGCTCTTATTTCGTTTCTTTGACTTTCTATCAGCCGTGTGATTGACTTTTCAGGTCCAATTAGTTATACTTTGTATGTAATTTTATGGAACGCGGTAGTATCATATTATTGGACGCCGGTGAGAGTATTATTCAATGTCTTAGTGATCGATAATAATACAAATAAATAAAATTAACAAAATTGATCACAGCATTAATAAAAGAGATATACGAAGTGTTTATATAAAACAGCGGTATTGTTATAACGTATAACAGCGGTAGAATTGTTATGAATGACGTAATACAAAATTACTCTTTGGGAGTACTCGACATTTAAATAGTTATAAAATTTAATTCTGAGAAATTTACAACAAAACAATTATCAGTGCCTGGCCTTTTGATATGTAAATTCCTAATGACGCATATCGACGTCATCGTAGAATGCATTCAATATGTTAACGATCGATGGTGACTAAAACGAGTAAAATGAGCAAAATCGACTAACATTAATGAAAAATATACATATAAATAGCGTTAGAAATACGCTATTAGTGACGCAATAAACGATGGTTTCTCGAGGATGCTTCATAGCTAAGAGTTCCCAGTGACGTTATCATAGAGCGCAATACGTCGCAATACGTGTCAACAGAGACGGTCCTCGACTATCTACCTAATGGCGCACAAATATGTTTACCCGAGCGAAGTCCGTACGAGGAAAATCCACAATAACGTCGACGATCGCACGTCAATATTGGACCAGTCTTTCCTCGCGCGAGTTTCGCCCGTAACGGGAAGTGAACGCGTGATCGGTATCGATCGGGCTCTCTTCATTTTTCACGACGGGAAAGCCAGCCGACCGTATCGAGACGTCAATGAGCGATCGAGCGACCCTCGGCTCCCCTCGAGCGTCCGGCTCGTTGCGGACACTCTTAATGTACCACTTTCCAGCCACGTTGCAGGGGTTCCAGGCGGAGGCCGCGACAGGAGCGTCGCGTAATGGGCGGTATAATCGATCTCGCGAGATCTCGGCAAAAGCGCGAGAGAAACCGCGCGATTCTTCCAGATGACGAGTGCCGATCAAGTGTTGAGGGAAGACGGTCAAGTAAACGAACATTCTCGTCTTTGTTCTCGTTTAGCAAGCGGCCGACGGGGCGGCAAGAGCGGCGGGCACGGTGTACCGTGTCGTGGCCGGTACACAGAGCCTCGGGCTCGGGCTAAGCGCCTCGCGCGATGTGGGCCCGGCGCTCCAGCAGGCCGCCCCCGCTACTGCTAATCCCGCCGGCGGCACTGGCGGCACCCCGACGTCCGGCGCACCCTCGACAGCCGCCCCAGGAGCCGGCATTCTACCACCGGTACGCCAAATCCTTCCGACACGTCTATAACGTGTCCGCCGACGGAGATACGAAGGCGTCTGCGCTTCTTCGATTCTGTCTTCGGGCCTCTACCGATAAACGAGACTGGTTCACGTGTCTACGACGCACACGATACCGCGCCGACATCCGAAAGCTGTCGCTCGATCAATGACGAACCGCTCGATCTCGCCCGATCGATCTTAGAAACGTCGATTTGTCCGACGTCGTGACCGCCGGAAGTTATTGCGCGCGGAGAGAATATCAGTGCCGTCGATTTCGACCGGCCGGATGCCCGAGTCTTGCGGTAACTGACTAATACGGCTAATCTCAGACACAGTTACAAATTATTGATTTTTCTAACGACAACGGGTTTATAATAATGTTTGAGATTAGCCGTGCGTTCAGTTAGTGAAAGACTCGGATATCCGGGCGATCGAAATTTGACAGCACTAGAGAATATATTATAGCCTTTTTTCTCTCGTATAAAATATAGTTTTAACGTTTCGGGAAAGACCGTTTCCCTCTCCAGATTTTTCCGCAAATTTTTCGGTTTTTCATATTATTTTTTTTGCTTTTTATTTTCTTCGTATATATTAGCGAAGTCAAACATAGGCGACTGGAAAGCAGTATCTTGTTTATGCAAATTTATAATTAGCATGTAGGATATATCACGCTAAAGGACTGATACACCGCTGTATAATTAGGGGTATACGCGAAATGTAAGTCGAGTAACAGGCTGTGAAACGAAATACAAGAAATAATCATTCGACTGTTTTTTACATACCTAAATAATTTCCAATCTCTCGATATGTTGGCAGCGCATCGGTCGAGTAATGATTGTCCATTTTGTCATTGTTCGAAAGACATCGTTATGGAAGGATGCCGCAATTTAATCGAGCATATAGATTTGCAGATATGCGTTCAAACTTGACGATTTTAAGTACAGGAATAAATCAAAATCACGTCCTCTATATGAGACGAAATATACTGCTTAAAGCCTATTTTTGTGTTAAATGTTTTGTCTCCAAATGTTTCCGTGAGTTTTCCTGTAAATATAATTCCGTAACAGCGTTATATTTTGTGCAATAAATTATTTCGCGCGAGCGTGCAAATGAATTATTTGCCAAATGTGGCCGTACACAGCATCTATCACGATATTTTTACGTACATGTAATACGGACAATATTTAGTTGAGTCTATTTGGATGCATTTAATCAAATCTAATATGAAGTATTGTTGTGCGTCGTAAATATTTCTTTAGAGAATGTCGATTGTTTGGTATGGCACTTTAATGGTAACCTGCATCAAACAATCTACATTTGCTCTAAAAATTGAAGAAAATGATTACCGAAACGGACATATGATGCGTTATCGTTCCATATGAGGCAATGTGACACACATATGCCATGTTTAGAGTAAATGCTTTCTTCAATCGTTAATGTGAACAGTTGACGGTTGGTACTGCACGTGTTTAGCACCAACTGTGTTTATCGGATTCGCTCGATAACTCTTCTTTCTTTCTCTTTTTTTCTCTCTTCTCTCTCTTTCTATTTTTGCTCTCTCTCTTTCTCTTTCTCTACTTTTTCTCTCTTTATATTTCTATATCTATCTCATTCTACTAAAATGCACTGTACATGCCTGCTCTCTCTTTTTCAACTTTCATAACTTCACATTTTCTTATTCTCTTTTTGTCCTCAGCATGTAATTTGCCCTTCGGTCGCACGAAAACATGAAATTCACCTCAGTCATCAGAGTTTCACATGACTTTCCTAGAGTCGAGATAGTCGGCCTTAATTTTCTCTAATGGCAACGTGCCATTACTGATACGTTTATTTCTTGCGACATCTCGAGTAATAATCGCACACTGCATGCCAAACTAGCACGGCCGCGCAACCTTCGTAATCCGCCACTGTATCGTCCTAATTCACCTATCATTCGTAACGAATGAGCCACTTTTTCTTCTTCATTACCTCACGTAAACCTACTCTCCGATCTCGCAAAAATCTCGTGCTCGTATCACATTTAAATTTTTGCATGCTGTACTTTTTCCCCCACGTAAGCACGCACACCACGAGAGCCACTCTTGACTCATTCGTTTTTAATCTTTTTTAAATCTTTCGCTTACTTTCTACCGGTGACTTAATCCCTCTAGACGACTCACTTCTGAACGGGTTACTGACGTTCTTCCTATCTCTCGCATCTTTCTCTTCTCCTTCTTTTTCTCTCTCTCTCTCTTTCTCTCTCTTTCTCTCACTCCGTTTCTCCTTCCTTCGTACAGAGCCTCTGCCAAACTTCTCTGTCTCTACGCATGAATTGCATATCAAGATCTCTAATATCTGTTGTACATGCGTATGTATATGTCTGAAAAATAATACACGCGTGAGCAAGTTCTAATCTGCCGTTTCCTCTACAAAAACGCGTCTCCCTCATCCGCTGCAACTACTTTTGCATCAGTGCACTTTTTGTACGTCTAATGTAACGAGGTCTTGGCATGTAATTTGTACAAATTATCCTTAACCCCTAGTTAGCTGTTATTTGAGATACATTCCCCTACAACCCCGGAGTTGAAGTAGAACTCGACAAATTTAGACACGATATTGTTTGATTTGTTAAAGATTACCGTTCCTTCTTTCTTTACATTCTGAAATATGACACTTGATCACTCGTACAAATGATATTTCTCCGAATGTCTTTCTGGGACGTAACCGTTTCACGAAGAGACAACTTGCGTTCGCAGAAATGACGACATTTTTGTTATCGTATCCAATCGTTTCCTTCGACTCCGGAAGGTTTTCACCGGAAACATTCGTCCGCTCATCTCGTTCCACATCCCATCTCCATCGTTCCACCTGGCCAACGGTCCCGACGCAACGCTGACAATCACTGACTAAAAAGACTTTTTGATGATGGCGTACTGACCGGCTGATGGGCAGGCCGATTCATCCGGGATCTGATGGCGGCCGCTCCAATTGATCAGCGCCGATTCTCTCCGTTGCCGCGATCTTCGTCGTCGTCACTGCACTGTATACATATATCTATACATATATTGTAGCGGCCACACAGTTGTATCTTGTTTCCATCGTATTTGTTGATTTGCACCTGGAGTAAACGCACGCAGATTAATCGACAGACGGATCGGTTCGCGAGACCGCGAATCGCCAGCGATCGTCGCGTCTTTGAGTCGAAACCGATCTGTCTGCCGGGCAGAGACTCGTAGCATTGTAAATCTCTTTGGTAATTGGTCCGCACGATGTGCAGACTCGACGCGTCTGTAGCTAGTGGTAGTTCGCGCTGAACACCGGCTGGTGACGCACCGCTAACCACTAGGTGCGAACACGCGCCGCGTCGAGTGTCCGTCTGGCGTATGGTTCACTCTGTTGTCACCATTTTGGGTTTTGACGGATTCACTGTTCCGTGGTGCATACGCAGGGTGTCCATTACGAAAATCTCTTTTCCACTCGCGCGCGTCATCTTTCTTTTCCTCTTTCCGGGATTTGCCTGGTCCCGAGCAACGGGATTGCTGCGTTCGGCGAACACGACGGATTTATTTGCGTCTGGCGCAGATCGGAAAGTGATCACAGGTAACTTCGACAACCGTGCAACCGTTGTATTCACCGAACGCAACCGGCGGACCTGTTCTTTTTAGCCGAACCAGCGCTGCACTGAAACTTTGTTCCTTTTTCCTCCAACGCTGGATTACACACATTTGTTTCGATCCGAAAGCAAAAAGTGCAATGTCCCGGTTCAGCTAAACGGAACAGACCTAAACGCTTTGATTTTCGGCCGAGCGAACGCGCGTGTGGACGCCCTGCAGACAAGCCCCCGATTATATCACGAGCCGAAGGAGCGCACGTAAAGGATCGTAGCAGCAAGATCGATGGATCGATGTATCGTATGTAGCCGCAAGTAGGAATAAGGATATGAGAGAGCACCGTAGTGTCGGGAGCGCTGGAGCTGGACGTGGAGCTGCAATACACACCGCAAAATATATCATCCTCTAAACAGACATACGAACGATTGTAATTAATTCCCGTATATATACATATATATGCCACATATATGTACTTGTATACTTATCGATCTTGGGCGCACCCGCGCCTCCCGGAAACCCGCAAGCTGCGTTTCCGGGCACGAAAGTCACGGGCTTTTGGGCGGAGGTGCCTCCGACTATGCTATCCGCTCGCTGATTAACCCAAGCGATCTGCGATCTTTCCAGCTGGTGACCGGAAGCGGAAGTAATCAGCAGGACGGCGGCGCCGGCGCCGGAAGGACGGACGTGACGGTGGAGGAGGCCGTGCCTGGTCCTGTCACCAGGTTCTTCGTCCTCGCCAACCGAGGGATCTCGAATCTCATCCAGGATCTCATACTCGTGAGTAGTCGCGGGTAAACTTTCACCGTGACCTCCTCCGACCGCTCTTCCTTCGCACTTCTCGATGTTGCGAATTCGTGGGCGTACGGAGAGAATTTGTACGGCGGCTTTGTTTCCTCTTTACATAAACTCTTTTCAATTTTTCCACGCGTCGCTCACAGCATGCACGAGGAGAGAGAATTTTCTGGTAAAGATTACTATGGAATTTTACACGATGCCGTGCACCAAAAAAGAAACGTTATCGTTGAAATAATACTTGTTTGATTCCCAAGTGAGATGGTTACTCCATTACTTCTTGGCAAATATTTACTAGAGGTAAAACCATATTTGACTATATACAATATATGATATTTCCTTCGCATAAGTAAACATTTACTTGTGTGTATTAAAACAGTTGCGATAAATATTCAATTTATGATATTGGGAATATCAGAATTTATTTTTAGAAGATATTTAATACGGACATAAAAATCGAAGTTTCTAAAGCCATTCTGTTTCTTCACCGGAAGAGAAATATTATATAATTCTAGTAAATACTCTCTTAAATTTCGAACCATTTTATATTTACATTCAGTGATTCATTTGCAAATTAAGGCATTACTGCTTTCCAAATAAGTATTTACTACGAGCTATTAAAATATACTTAAATTGATAAAAAATATTACTTGATTTAAGAGAAGTTGAAAACAGGTAATTCAGTTTGCTTGATGCTAGCATTCTTTTTCCATGTATGTATCCCAAATGCGGTATCTAAAAGGAAAGAAAAGAAAATCGATCGGGTACACGGGAGAAACAGGGAGATTCCTGTAGTAGGTTTCCGCTTCGATCGATTGCTCTCAGTTATTTTAATCGAGTTTTAATGCAGCTCAAAGTTCACAGGAATGTTCTCAATTGCGGTAACAAATATATATCATTTCTTGTCACCGAGCTTTCATCTGGTTCTTATCCGGTTGCAACAACTGGTATTTTTATGCGCGTCTAGCATCGCTAGTTGGAGCAAGCCTTTCGTTTGAAGAGAACGCGTAAATTGCCTAGATCGAATCGTGCGCGTAATAAAGGACTTCATTGGCGATCAACGATCGCAGTGTTATTACAGTTCAACACTGTTTTCGCTGACAATCACACGAGCCCGTAATAACCTATGTCGTAAAGCACCTGAACCGATCTACTCCACAAGAGGTACAAGCCCGCTATTCGCACCGGACATCGATTACACATTTCGAGATTCTTTTAATAACTTCGGCTCACTTGAAAGTAAATTACACCTGGTAACAAAATATTGAGCAACCGCTTTCGAAATCGCGATCATAAGTGGACTTTGAACTGTAAACTCGGTGGACAACTTTATAATAAGGAAATTAGTAAGAGATGTATTTTTACGACATATATATTTTTTTATATTACATTTTTTTACGATATATATTCATAGACCGTTTGCGATTTACTGCAAATTTAAAACGCGTTTCCTATGCAAACGTCACGCAAACGTGTATTTATGGTTGCGCTTTTATTACTCTTTTATACGCCGGCGCGTATTAATTATTCATATTTCCATTTTATTCGCAGGATATCGCAACCGTGGTTTTTTTTACGGGAAAAACGTTTCGATCGAACGGCGCCTGTCGCGGTGATTCATAACAAACGCCCACGTGAAACTCAACGAGAAATTTAGATGAGCGTAATTTTAACCGCGAATCGCGATGCGAGCGATTGACGTCGCGCGGACGATTGCGTTTAGGGACACGCGATAATCGCGTTATCGCGCACGATTCGTTTCTTCGACGGAACCGTGAAGTGAAATTCGCGTCGTGGTGTTTTGTGCAAAATTGCCAAATTAATTAAAACGGACTTTGCGGCTTAGTTCGTGAAGTATTTCGACAAAAAGTAATATGTAAATATTAAGACATAGTAAGTTTCACTTTCTCGAGCGTACTTGTTTCTCAACTCGCCGGACAGCGAGCGTGGGAATTAAAAGGAACTTCCGAATTTCTCGATATTTCTGTTAAAAACAAAAATCCGAAATTAGAGAGGCGTTTACTCACAGTACCGTTCGTACCGCCTGCCGAGAGTGATGATACAGCATAAGCAGTGGGTTGTTACGAAGGTCAAGATGAGGCTTAAGACGTTATACGGTATTATGCCACGTATGTCTCGAGCAGTTTGAACGGTGTAACAGACTAACGTTTCTTTCTTTCTTTCTCTCTCTCTCTCTCTCTCTCTTCTTCTTTCCAATTTCAGAGCATTAGATAAATTATAATAGGGTGTTTCACGGTGACCGGTCGTGTTCGGCGGTGCCGAAAGTCGAGCGGGCGTAACGTCGCGCGTCGCGTAGCGTCACGTCGCGTCGCGCGTCGTCGTTTCAGATATAAACCGGGCGATTACGTAAGCGCGCCGTCGGGATCGATGGAAAGCAAAAATGTAAGCGACTTTCTCTATGAAATAGCGCGTCCATTTGCCGGCTGACTTATGCAAGCGGCCGCTCCTGGCACGCAAAAACGCCGGGGGCAACACCTGGCCGCGGTATCGGCCGTCGAGATCGCGTTACGCCGCTCTTTCTGTCCGACCGATCTGCAATCAGTCGCGTCGCCAAATTTCCCAAAAGGATCTCAGGCAACTTGGATCTCAAGGTGGTTTCGGTTGAAATAAAAATATGTTAATACGGCTCTGTCAGTGAGAAGTAACGGCCCTAATCGCGGCCTTTGGAGCGATATGTAAATTTTTATCGTGGGAGGAGTTCTATTAATCACATTACTGGGATTTAATGTTCGGTGCATTCGAGAAAGATTGATTCGCAATGTACCGTTTGTCTGACAATACCGTCGATACGTGCGTCATATATGATGAACATTTACATCCTTCCATAATGAAAGTTTACTTATCGCTACAACAGCCGTGACTAAACTTTCGTTTTTTTCTTTCCTTTTCGTTTAAAGTTGTGCCGGATTCCTCACAGATGCGGTTTCGCAACATACAATAAAACATCTCGTGCCTTGAAAAGGATGAAAACGGACAGATTTGTTATCCGGTGACTTTCGCACACCTCACCAAACGGATCATTTTCACTTCGCATTTCAATTAATTTTGAGCTCATGCAGCATGAAATCGATGGGTCGATAAGTCGGTCGGGCATCGCGCGAGAAAAGCATTTATCTTCGCACTGTCCGAGAGTAGTTGCAATCTTTGATCCGAATATTTTCCGATCTTCGTTCTAATTGTTCGTGTCTGGATTCATTTTTACACGGGAGGAATCTTGAAAATTATCATAGAATTATCATCGTGATCCTGGAAATTCCGCGCATTTTTTCTTTTTCCTTTATTTACGACTCACTTTAGTCCACTGTAAGTGAACAATCGACAATACAGACAGCAGCTGAAGTAATCTGAGCCATCGTTGAAACGCAAGAGCCGGAACCGAGTCGACATGTATTATACGCGATCACGCAAGAACTCTTTCTCCGCACGGTCGTGCACCCGGCTGTGATTTTTTTAACCAATGATTTTTATGGTCGCAACATTCGCGGAATTGCCGCGGCGAGTCGAGGACAATGTTCCGCCTTAGATCATCCGGTCGACGTAACGCCGACGTTGATTTTTACACTCGGGCCCACATGCTACTTCCTTACGTACGATGACTTCAAGATCGCATAATCACTTAATGATAATCGCATTTTTGCAACGAACGCGCAACGAATACGCAACGAATAGTAAGTTCTCGCAACATTAAGCAGCGTGAATACTGCTTTAAGCGTGTGTTATACCGGCTCGAAATCAACGTCTAGATTTTACAATTGCATTATACGAGAAACCGTGACTCGATTAGCAAATTAGGATTTCGCGGTGATTAATGAAATATGCAACGGCGGGAAGCCTTACGGTAAAGACCGGAGGAAGGAAACGGAGACTAGAAACCATGGTTATTTATCTTCGATAATTTCGATAATTTCAAAGCTTCGAAGGAAACTTCGACCTTTCGAATTTTGACAAACCGAAATCTCGAAGATATATCTTCAAAGGTCGAGTCTTGAAGCTTCGAAGCGTATGTACTTGAGAATGAAATTGAGATTAAACAGCGATAGACAACAGATTGAAATTAAATAGCGGGTTTAGATGACGTTTTTCAATATTTTTCAAAATATTTTAAAAATCTTAGCCGTGAGAGTGAATCTTTTTTCTCATTCTTCTCACTTGTCTCGAAACACCACACTTTTCCTCAATTTCTTCGAGTAAGAAAAAAGTTCATTTTTCATATTTTTTCTTATTTGACTTGAGTTCTTTCAAAAAGAAAAACTCGATCACAAGAAATCATGTACAATAACTTGCTTCTTTAAAGACAACACATATTCACAGAAAATAGAATGTAACAATGACTCCGACAACACAAAATAAAGGAAGAATATTGATTTTATATTTGAACTGTTTTTATCAGGTTTGCCAGAAAAACAAACAATAACCGGCGTGAACACAATTGACTTTGTTTTCTTTAAATGACGTAGTAGAATCGATTGTTCATATTTGTCCATCCATAATTCTTGCTTGTCCACCAAGCCAGATTAACAAACAAATTCAAGAAAACAATGAACATATCTAATTATATATATATTTTATTAATTGCATATTATTGAATATTATAGAATATTTTTTGAATATTATTCTTAAGAAGTTAACTAATTAGTTTGTCTCCAACGGAAGTATTCGAAATTCGAATGTTAAAGCCTTCGGAAGAAAACACCAGCCCCAATATAGAGACTCGGGTACATTTTTGTCGAGTCTGGCGCTACGGTATTTTTTTCTTGCTTTCCGCGTCACGTCTCGCATCGACCGTAAGTTCTTTTATTATACGCAATTTGCGGCGCGTTAATTCGTTCGCTGGCTCGGTTTTGTGTCGGCAGGTGAGGAGCACGTCCGTCGACGCGTCGGTTCGAAAGCGCTTCACGCTCGGTGCCCTCCTCGGAATTCCTTCATCCGGAGAAGATCCTAAACTGCTCTAGTCGTTGGTGCGATTTTTCCGCGACTAAGAGGAAAACCGGCGCACCGACGGAATGTGTAATCCGCGTGAGATGCGGAATACGATAACGCCAAGTTCACGATTCTTCTTAATTTAGCTCGAGTAGGCTGGCTCTCACAGCGGTCTCGATAAGAGGATTCGATCACACGCTTCCTGCGATAGTGGAGTGATATTTCAAATGCTTAGAATAATCTCGCATATCCAGGAGTAATTCAATCCGGTGCAAATTCGTCGGTGTGACATACAGATAATCTTCATATATAGATTTCTTTATAAAATTTCTTTTCAATTTAATCATATTTTCGAGCGCAGGAAACGTTTATTTTAGCAGAACTTATCTTGCTAAGGGGAACATGAAACATTCTTGAAGAATGGATTTTAATTCCTGAAATGTAAACAACGGAAGGAGAATAAATTGAGATAGAATGCCGATATTTCCTCGGTCACGCAAAATTCCACGGTAATTTTTACCGTAAAATTTTCTCCGCGCAAAAAGTAAAAATCACCAAGGTGAGATTCCCTATCGGATCGCACGAGATGAATTAATCGACCGTTTCCGAATTTTCAGCGCCTGGCGGCTACGAGCGAACGCATCGTCAACTTCAAAGCGCGACTGATCACCTCCATCATCTAAGACCTCGTTCGAGGAGGACCGAGATGAGGAAACACAGAAGAAGAAGAGGCCTTCCCCCGGTCTTGGTACCGTAGCGTCACGAGCACCATCACCGGGCCGATCACCTCTGCCAGCAGGAGCACGGGTACGACGTTGGCAACGTGAACCATTCACGAGCACGGCGTTGCCCCCTTGTCCCCGGGATCCGATACCCTCGTCGATGGCCGTCGAACTCTATGCGAAAACACTAGGCAGTTTGTCATCAGACGCACATTCCTCCCCAACGATCGACGTTAACTCGATTCTGTCCGACTTTGTTCACTCTGTTTCCAGTCTAATTCCCTTCTTCTTTCTCGTTCTTTTCTTCTATGTGCTTTCTTGTTTTCTCTCTCTCTCTCTCTCTCTCTCTCTCTCTCTCTCTTTCTCTCAATTTTCTTCCTCCCCTTTCTCTTTTTCTTTCGTTCTCATTCCTTATGTCTGTTATTTCTATTCTTTAGTCGATTAGAATAATGATAACGATAGAGGAATTTCCGTAGGTGGTCGTCGTTTTAAGACGATCGGGATTCACTCGTAATGGCGCGGCTCGTGCCGCTGCGGTACGACGAAAATACACTGAGAAAGGTGGTGAAACTGTAAAAATCGTTTTCAATTTGTGATACCACACGTTCTCCGTTGACACTTCGAACGAAATGTTTCATGCGCCGACGACTACGAGACGGATCTCTCCGCCGAGGATCGTCCTCCGACACGAGACGAAAATATTTAAATTCGCGCTCACACAGAGTACAGCTATATAAATATACGTATAAAGAGTTTATTTTTTTACATTGAAAGTACGATACGATTTTTCTCGACCGTGAGAGGGGAAGACGGTAGATTCGCGCTCCGCCCGGAAGGATGAGACAAGGCCGGCTTGTTCGCCCTAATAACGACGCGTTTCGATCGAACGTCGTCGTCGAGCACGAGATATCGTAAACCTGTACATAGCTCTTACCCCGGAATGCAACAGTGCCAGGCATTCGTCGTTACCACCCATTTGTTTTCTATTGTTTTCTCGTCTAATTATTATAATCCTCTATATCTCTGTCTCGTTCCTCTTAGAAACTTTTCGCGATAACGCAGAACACGTGAAATCCAGACGAATAATCTCGCTGAGTGTAGCTGACAATCAAATTAAAATCATTCCTGCTTGATGCGTACTTCGGTTCTGTACATCACGTTCTGTTAGAAGTCCGTCAACAACGATAAACAAAGAGCTCCTCCCTTCTTGGATTTTCTCGTCGCGGGAACATCCGACAAGCGGTAATTTGAAAAAATGTAAAGTGACAACAATACGAAAAACGCGACGTTTTGTCGTCGTTGAAATCGAGCGCATGATTTTCTCTGTGTAAAACGTCCCTGTTGTTTTGTAGTGTAAATAAATATTATTGTAATAAGAAGCGAGGATGTGGTGTGCCTTTAACCTCAGCGACGCGTAAATCACCAAGCTCCCATCGTGTTGCAGACAGAAAAACAATAATCCGTTTGTGTGTGACGAAACGCTTTCAATTTATTCGAATTTACCTCTACGGTACAAAAATATAATTAGAAAAATATCGAATGGTTCAGACGTCAACCAAAATCCGCACTAAACTCAGATAGTCGAACCCGCGGAAATGGATTTTGCGCGGTGCAAATTTCGAAGTAATTCGTATAAGGTTGGTATATACAATATCAAATGAAGCACAACGGGACGATATTATCCGTTATCGTTATCCAAATCGCACAAGAATCATCCCGGAATCATCCGAATGTATCCGAAATATCGGGAGCGTATCCCGAAACGTCCTGAGTACACCGAACATTTCGTGCTATCTGGGTATCTGCCGATGATCTCGTAATCATGCAGAATCATATTATGCAACAGACTCGTGTTATTATTGTTGCGTTAATCACACTCTTATCATTCATTTTAAGGTCGTATACATTATCAACACTCGATGAAATATCGTATTAAAATCGAAGCCACTTCCCAGTGAACGTCTGATAACAATAATATTACGCTGTCATTTCCTGTTCAACAATGCAACGTCGTACGTTAAATTGCACTTACATTGTTGATGTTACTGTCATGTGGTGTTTACTGGGCTGTCAGTTCAAACATATCTGTCTATTTTCCGAGACCGCTTGCGGAGATGCACCCTCTCACTCAATTACCGAAATTCTACCGCAGTCTCGATCTTAAAACAAATTGAGACTCGTTTCTCTATCTTAAATCGATCATTTTACGTAAACATGATTCGCACACACACACACACACACGCGCGCGCGCGCACGTGCACACATACAGGAAAAAGACACTAATCCCTTAACGATTTAACAAAATATATTTCTGAATTTCTAGGACGCACACTAATCGCAATTCCGTAACAACACAAAGATCGCGTGGATTTAGTTAAATCATTAAATCCCAATCGTTGCTCGTTTAAATCCACATTGCAAAGCTTATTATAGGAGATACTTCACCGCTTATCATGGTTCCATCGTCTTTACGAACATTGCGCGTCTCAGCCATCGCTGATCCCGGACACCGTTTCTCCAGTTTCTTCGTCCTCGAGCGTTGGAGCGTCGATATTTCGCTCGTGTCCCAAATGTTCGCAAGAATCCCAACGCCACAGCTATGACGGTGAAATCAAAGGCGGTGTTTCCTCCGGCTCCTCCGATACACCCACGTAAACGGGATCGCCCAAACGGACCGTCTCGTTAGGTCCTCTTAATGCAAGATGGATGCCCATAATCGGACTATCACCGACATAAGGTCGTACCTCGGGATCGGTTATTTGCCTGTAACTATTCGTGACAAAAGTTTCTTTATTAATTTCATCATTAATAGCGCGAGATCAGTAAGGTACTATCGAGGCTCTGTGAGTTTAAAAGAAATAAATAACAAAGAGCAAATATAAGCCAAAGGGTTGAAAATTGAAATTTTTCACGTTGGAAAGGGTACGCTAAAGTTATACCTCGTGTCAAGCGTTAACAATAACATTTTAGACGCACTTCCTCAAGGTCTTCAGAGGTTCCACTTTGGGATTCTTCGTGCCGGTTTCCGGATCTATCGTAGTAAAGATGCATCTCGTGCATGGCTTGACACTTCTGAATATCACGTCGCCAATCTTCACCCAGTCCCATTTATCTTCCTCGTAAGCGGTGGCACCCTTGACCACGAAATTCATGCGAAATTGCTGCGGCGTGACTGGTTCCTCCAGCCGGTTATTAAGATCCGTTATCGAGGCCTCGTTGATCAGAGAGTAACTTGACGCATCTGGATAGGCTCCCTGTCGAAAAAATCAATCGTGCGCTTCTCACTAGAAGTATCACAATAGAATCACTTTTGATAATCGTACCGTTAACGGGAAGATACTCACGGTATCCGCCTCTGTTAAAGGGAAATACTTGTTTACTTCTCTCACACTCCTCGACGACCGATTTAACGTGTAATATACCAATCTGAGACCGACGTCCTCCTGAAGGAGGAAACGTGACAGCCATCGAGCGGGTTCTTCGCCGCAGTCGCACGCCGGCACTGCTTGGCCCCACACAGCAGCTCGGAAACCTTTGCCGCGAAGCTGAGCAAGGTCCACCGACACCGACATCATTCCTGGAGCGCGGAGCGTTAGTACAGAACCAGAGACGTTGGGCGACACCTTGAACAAAATGAAGAGAAACGGTTCGTTGCGGAAATAATAAACTGTATCTTCTCGAGACAAAATCTCATCTCCCGTCTCTTGGCCTCACGGGGAAAAAAGATTGGTTGAATTGAAGTGACATTGAACATTTGGTTCATAAGAATCGGACCATTCTGTTTCTTTCAAGGAAAATGCGTTTGGAAAATGCCGTTTTTCCTCCGTTTGCCGCATCGGCTGTAACTCTGTTGCCGTATGTCTACACGGAGAAAAGTCATTTTACCGTTATAGTGAAACCATCGTTGGTATGTTGCATCGTTGGTTCGTTGCGACAGTAATAAAAATTAATCGCATAAACAAATTAACGAATTATTTGTCATCGTTAAGAGTGAAATTATGCAGTTTTTAACCTGAACCATTTTCGGCAGTTGTCTGGCGGTGATAAACCGTCCGTCGAGATCGATCACCATCAGCGTCCGATCTCTCATCCAACCGGACTTTAGGCCTAAAGGTGTGCATTCCATCGATGTGATGCGAACCGCACCGAGCGATTTGACCGGGAAGGCGATCAGGTCGCTCAGTTCTCCAACTTTACGCCATTTGGACGGCGGCTGAGGTTTTTGCTTTCTGATCCACCACCACCAGATGAAGAAAACTGCCGTGCCGGCACCCACCGCGGCGGCCGTAACATACGCCAGTCGTGTTCTGTCTAAAAATGGAGTGAATGTTGAAATGAAATAGAACTCGCCGACGTATCATCCAAATATAAATGGGGAATTTCTCTTAGCAAGTTGTAAGTTGTTCGAAAATATCGAAGGACAAGTTATAACTAAATTCCTTCGTTCGAGAAGAGAACGTACATGGACTGACGCGTGTGTCTAGACATTTCGTGATTATGGAATTCTTTTAAAATTATCCCCCACGATTGTTTTATATCAATTGACCCCTTCCATTATTCTATGTATAGAAGTGGTGTAAAACGTACAAAAATAGAAAAAGATCGTATATAAAAGTAAAGCGTTAAAGTAGCAACGATAACAATATATAACTGTTTATGTAAGTTTAAATAAGTGGAAAAGTGATTGCGACACATTTACCTCGATCGATTTCAGTATTCGGCGCGTGTCCAATGGTGAGAGTTATATTTTAATAATCTCAGAGACATTTTCCTATCGGATATACGGTCGAAAAATTCATGAAGGTTTCTTTTTTATACCGACTGTACTCGTAACGAATAGCAACTAGCGTCACACGTTCGACGAGCGTGATCGAGCAGTCGAGTACGGGGACTCATTTCTTTCGTGCTACAAAAATTAGGTCTGCGCGACCGTATAACCGGTTCCGTGAGTCCCGGAAATGTCTGGTGTGGAGTGGTCGTTGAATAAGGTCAACCGATCGCTTAGTACCGATGCAATCGCAATTTTAATCTTAATCCGTCGAAATATCGTTCGATATTAATCTAGCTTTTAATTAAATTATTAAATATCGAATTGTTAATCTCGAAAAATCTTAATTAAATATCGAGAGATATTAAAAGCAAGTTTGATTATAATGTATCAAGTAGATTTATTCGAGATGCAAAATATGCGACGTCACATATGCGATGCAACATCGCCGTAAAATCCACGTAAAATTCACAAAATAAAAAATGTATTGCACTGTGGTTACTTTAAGCGTAAAACGCATATACGTTAATCGTTTTTACGCTTTTTCTTTTCAATGTATGATGATATACACACACGCGCGATCGGACGATACGTAACAACGTAATTAAGATATAACGAAGCGCAGTGAGGCTGTTTAATTTAACGTTCGTGTAAAGTCTACTTTAGACTCTACAGTTTTTATTTTATGCTTTGAAACCAGGAATCGACGAGAATAAGAATGCCTTCAAAAATTTCCGTCGATATTTATGTGTTATCTGTTTTTCGCGTTGCTTAATACTCGTAATATTTATAAACGCCTCGTTATCTCAGATAACGTTATACATAATTTGATAAATGCGAAGTGTAAATATACACAACGTAATCAACCTTGCCTTGATATCCTGCTTCTTGTAAATTTGGTATAGTATTTTAAGACGGCTCGGAACAGCTCGGAACGTAGCCGATGGTCCAATGAAAGAATTTATTTTCTGGAGATTTTTCGAAAACAAGTTCTCTCATCGTTGCGCACCGCATCGAAAATGAGATGTTCAAGCCGTATTGAAAGCACACGCCGAAGTCGAAGTAGAATCCACTTTCATAGGAAGACAAGCTTCGGCCCGGAGAAAACCGTTAACTTAAGTGTTAAATAGTTCGCTAATTAACGTTCCCGTATGCAAATCACATAGATCTACGGTTTCTCGCAGTTGTACTAACTTGGAGAGAGGTGGGGAGGGGGGTCTGCCGCGTCATAAACTCGTTGCACTATACGTATATCTCGAGAAAAAACTTACAAACTCAGAATGTAAGTTTTATCTTAACGATATGTGCAACTTTAAGCAACCTTGTACATTCATATTCGATTCTCTGATACGGATTAGAAACACGGGGGACTCCACAAGAAACCGTTGTTCCTATTCTCGTGAATAGGAATAAAACAATCGGAGACTTCTTTACATATCGAGTTTGAACTTTGAAACGAACACGTGATAATCTTCCATAATCTTTCACGGATTTTTAAGAGTAGATAATAACAGCATTGATGATTAAGAAATTGGTGAGTGACAGTAGTAACTGACTCGCACTTTGAATATAATTGAAACCATCGTGCATCGTGCAGCAATTTGTGCTCGCGGAAGAGCGAAGTTACGTCTATATTAACGCGTTGCTTACAACGTGCGTTACATAAGAGCCCCGTGTTAAACTCCCCGTTCATGCCGTTTCATGTTTTTACTATCAAATGTAACGCGTTATCATAATCATAAAATAAACGCATTAATGGAATCCGAGTCGAGCTACGCTCCAATTTTCTAAAGACAGAAAGAAATCCCAGATAAACGAAAGAAACCCAATAGGAGCCAATTCACAGCGGAGTTTCGCCCAAGAGAGCGGGAGTGACTCACTCGATTTATCCCTTCGAAATATATTTTTTCGGGAAGGGGAACATCCCATGGTGAACTTCGAGGGGACCACGCGCCCTTCGCCGAATCAATACCGCGGGAAATAAAGGCACGATTCGAGCATAAAGGGGATATGGCTACCTCTTGGAGCACACAACTCGTACAATTACTTCGTTCACCTGAAGGGATTAAATTCACAAGTGCGCGGACGATCGAAGAAATTCGAATGAGAGATCGATTTGGTATACAGTGAAGTTAGATTTCCAAAGTGTAGTTGAGAGTGTAACCTTTCTCGTGATAACCGGTCGATAAGAAACGACCGATTACATAACCCTCGTAAACTACTGCCGATACATTGTTGATTGTTGACAGAATATCGCGTGGCTGAGATATCGCGCCGGATTCCATCCGGCGTTTGTTGAACGGCGAGGCCAGACCGATCGCGGGAGGGATAAAATTTGGAGAAAACCGCACATTGTTCGTCGGAAATGTACCGTGCGAAACCGCCGGCATTCCTCTACAGTCATTCCCCGGAGTTACAATGCTTTTTCCGCTCTTACGCCTTCCCGTGGTGGAATGTACGCGCGTACATAAGCGAGACAGACGCGTGCTGGTCTCATTCAGTGTAATCGGTAAATGGGCTTGACATCCGCCTGCACGTGTTTACGAACTTATTTTGCGGTGCTCTTACGGGCACGACGTAATTCGCGTCACGCGCTTTCCCCCCGCAAAATGACACATAACACGCTAAACGGACTAATTTTGCTAATTCCCTTACACCGGCCAATTTGTCATGGACTTTTGAGCATTCCCTAATACCCGTGTTCTCTCTCTCTCTCTCTCTACTTCTCGGCGTCAACCGCGATACACCGAGGATACTGGAGTGATTCAACATCATTATCCGCACACGTCAAGCGGGCGATATCACAAGTCACTGAACATCTTATTATCGTGTATCATCATTTTCTCCCCGCTTTTCGTCGATCTTGTCGTGCATTGACCCACTCTCAATCCCAAGTCGTTCAACCGAGTTGTCCGTCCCTCCCGATAGAGGATCAATAAACCGGCAAGAATATCCTACATTCAGAAATCTCTCCGTCCAGAAATCAGTGGTCACGTCGGCATGACAATATTATATATATATATATATATATATATATATTTCTATAATATATTCACCCATAATATATCAACACCAAGGTTGTCCGAGAAGCCAACTACGACGACAAACCGAGACGTCACCGGCGATCTCAGGACCTCAGGAAATCGCAACGAGGACGACTCCTCTTCGGGAACGCTTGAGGAACTGGCCGGCGGCCGAGACCAACCTCGTCTCTTCTCGCAGTTTCCGCGACACTGGCTCGCTGGACTTCACGTGCGCGCCGCGACTATCTCCTTCCTCCGGAGGAAAACACCGTTATCCATCCACGCTACGTATTTCGTTATCTCCTTCCACTACTGTAGTAATAAAACGCCGTCGATGCAGCCGCCGTCGAGCCGTCACTGCCACCTCTGCTGTCGCATCGACACGCGCGAGAAGGAGACATGCGGTGTGACGTACGAAAGCTCCGTCTAGAATCGGCACGCAGCTTTCTACCAGGCGTGGGTGTTGGCACATGCGTGCTTCGTCGGAGCACGTGTACGCCGGTCTTCCCGAGTTTTCAGAGCCTAGACGAGCGACCGGATGCCAGATGTTTGCAAGTATGCGCAAATAATTGTTGATGCTCAGCCTCAGTGAGAACCACTAGTCACGATCAATTGACATTAGCCCTGACCTCATGATACACATTGACATTCAATCAATAGATGGTATATACACGGTGACCCATTTTAATCGACAAACGGAGATATCTCCGAAACTACGCAACCTACGAAAAAAATGTTCGAATAAAAGTTGTCGAGGACAGTGGGGGTCATCTACTTGTGCTAATGACCTTAACCTTGAGGTCAGTTTTCAAGGTCATTTCAAGGTCAAGGTCACTTTTTAAAATGGAACCCCCTATTTTTAATGCCGGATTCAGAAAGAGCGGGAAATTTTACATCCAGATATGTATCAAAGTATAATGTTAACGTGACCTCAATATGTTGACAAAGTTATTCACTGTTTATAAGAGGTTATTTTTTGTTAATATACTGCCGTATTACACGTGTCTAGTTTATAGATAGTTTTGTATTTTTTACAATATTCGCGTTGCAGCTACACTCTCCTACAGCATCTGTAAGAAATGAGGAAGCTAAAGAAATGAGAGAGCGACACTGCCGTTCAATGTTAGAACTTCTATGTGTCAGTCTTTGTCGATAAGAATGAGTAACACAATAAAAAATGATCAATAGTGGGTAAGTTAAATTACTCGAAGTCGATAAATTTTCGAGAATCGATAAGTTAACAAAGTCGATAAGTTTCCGGAGAGCGGTAAGTTACCAGAGTCGATAAGCTTCTTGGGATCGGTACGTTTCCCGGGGACGGTATGTAACTGTATTGCACATCGCAGAAGTGAGGTTCAAAGATTTCAACTTTTGGATAGACTCGAATAAGGCTGGTACTTCCGACTTACCGAATGCAAATTATTCATACTATATTTTCCAAGCAATCGATTTCATTGATGTGCATTACGAAGGTCTGAGTAACCTGCGTAATCTCATAA